CTGCCGCTGCACACTGACACATACATATATATAAATATATAACTTTATATTTATGTGTCAGTGTGCAGCGGCAGCCATGGCGGCAGCCAGCGTTTGTTGCAGATGATCATTTGGACGGAATTTACAGGAAATTGCCGACAATTTCCTATAAATGCCGTCCAAATGTTCATCTGCAACACACGCTGGCCGCCGCATGGCTGCCGCTGCACACTGACACATAAATATATAGCTTGTATTACGTCTATAACTATATATTTATATGTAGGTGTGCAGCGGCAGCCATGGCGGCAGCCAGCGTTTGTTGCAGATGAGCATTTGGACGGCATTTGCAGGAAATTGTCGGCAATAATAGGTGAAAGAGAATATAGAAACATTAAGACTTTGGTAGTAAATAGATTTCGTATTTATTTAGCATTATATTTTATTGAAACGCTCCAAGTGCCTGTGGCCGCGCGTGTGTGCGCAGGGATCAGGTGAGAGAGTAGAGGGGGGCGGCGTCTTAATTACCTCCAGCAGCCGAGACAATTTGCATGAGGCTATTATTTGCATCACGGATGTTTGCACTTAAGGGTTGCAAGTAGGGCGAGTTTACACGCGGCAAACAACAACAACAACAACAACAACAACAACAACAGCAGCAGCAGCAGGTATGACTGCGTAACCCGCTGACAACGTAGTGTTAGTCCGCCCACTAATAGTACTTTCAGTATAATGCTCTAGCCCGGCCATAGCGAGGGAAGGGAATCCAACGACGAAGTGCGTGTGTACGTACACGCGCTGCCGCCGCCGTGTCTGTTGCTGCCGTGCGTACCCACAGCATTCACGAGGTAGTAAGCGACACCAGTATAATATTATAAAGCTTGCGTTATAGACGTGGCAGCCTGACAGGTGCGACGTGGGCCGCTTACAGCAAACACGTGTAGTAGTAGCACGTAGTTCTAGACCTGCCGCCGCGTCTTAGCCGTCTTAGCAGTCGTTAGCCGTCAAAAACTGCCCTCGTGGAAGGCGCTTGACGAGACACGCCTTTCGTGAGACGTGTAAACAAGCGATGAACAGGCAATCATTCTCGCGATCTGTCCTTCACCACCGTTATATATATATTAGTCGTACGGGGAACGAACAGCCGACGCTGCATGTATAGCCGCGCATCTCATCAAAACAGTATAATCGACGAAATGTTTTCGCGAGTGGTTAATTTCGCGGTCGGTGAATTATGAATTATTCGGTATTATTCGGTATGAATTATTCGCGTGCTGTTATTTTTGCTGTCCGGGACGCAATCGCGAAATTCGCGAAAATTAAACCACCCCGAAATATAGGCCTACAGCGTATACAGTATACGGTGTTGCCTGCGGCCCGCCACCACGGCCTGCTCGCTTTATCCACACAGACAAGACACTCCGTAACAGATCGTCTCTCATCCGTCATCCTCCCTCTCTCGCTCTCACCGTCGCAATCCTAGTTGTCCTACCGCTAGAGGGCGTCTCTATGTTTATTTTAATGTCTATGCATACAGCGTATGCGTGCGTGTGCGTGCGTGCGTGAGGCTCTCTCTCTCTCTCTCTCCTCTCTCTCTGAGCTCTCTCTCTCTCTCTCTCTCTTTCTCTGTCTCTCTCACACACTCTCTCTCCCTGTCTCTCTCTGTCTTTCCCTCTCTCTCCCACTCTCTCCCTCTCTCTCTCTAGCCGCTAACGAGCTAGCTCAGACAAGAGAGCAAGTGTTTCGGACTGGTGACAAGGGGACAGTCATGGGGCAAAGACACGCGAAGGTGATGACGTTAAACCATAATCAAACGTTCCTCGCTTCCCTTCTCTTTCTCTTTCTTTCTACCCCTCTCTCTCACTCACTCTGTTTCTCCCTCTCCTTTTCCCTCAACCATCACCACTATCATCATCCTTATTCTCATTGCAGATAGATAGATAGATAGATAGATAGATAGATAGATAGATTTTATGAATTTATTATAAATTAGAATTAGTTATGCACCACGTGGAAGCGAGCGTTGATGGCGCTGGAAATGGCGCCACCTGGCGGCAAGGCGAACATGAGTCAGTTTTCTCATCTGACGCCGGGATTCGTTCACATCGACAGCAACATAGACCCGTACATCCGGCGCCTAGGCGGCGTCGCGGGCACAAACAAGATGGCGGCGATCCTCGGCGGAAGCACGAAGTTCATGTTCGTGAGACATCCGCTCTCTCGGCTGTTGTCGGCGTTCCGCAGCAAACTGGAGCCGGGTGCCTTTGACAAGCATAACCGACAGCGCAAAATCGCGATGATTCGACGGCACTTTGAGCTGTCGCACGCGAACGAGAGCGTCGGCGAATCGGTGAGCTTCGAGCAGTTTCTCACGTTCGTCGTGGAGAGTCGTCGGCTGCGGCTGGACAACCACTGGGCGCGCATGGTCGACCTATGCAACCCTTGTCTTATCAACTACGACTTCGTCGGCAAATACGAAACGCTGCGCGACGACAGCGCCGCGCTGCTGCGGCGGACGGGTCTGACGCAGTCGCTCGACTTTCCGACGAGGACGGCGTCGAGGTACGGGAACACGAGCAGTGATGACGTCATGCTGATGCGGAGATATTACAAGGACGTGCCGCTGGAGCTGGGACGGAAAGTCTACGCGACTTACGAACTGGATTTTTTACTTTTCAATTACAGTTTACCGGAAAAGTTGTTCGCGTAGCGCTGCGACTATGTGCATTCGGCCGGCGCATATATATATATATATATTAGCTATTACCCGTCCTCCAGACGGGTTTGAGTGGGGTCTGATTA